ATTAATTTAAATAAATACATTTTTCTAATAGATTGTTGTTGTATCTGGAAAAAACGATTAAAAATTTTAGGAGTGACTTTTAGATAGAATGAATTTTTTTTTCTATGAGCATGTACCCGGAAATGCTTCCCAAAGGAGGTAGAACTTTCTAAAGATGACAAACAAGAGAACTGCAAAGAGAACTTAGGAAGCTTATTTATAGAACAAAATTTTGCTTTGACAGAAGCTTTTAGAAATAAAAATCTGCAATTTTGTATTTATTAGTTAATTTTTTTCAAAAAATAGCTTGTGTTATTTTTGCAACCCTTAGATTTCGAGAAAAACGGTGTTTTACTAAATCTTGGTGCATGGTCGTTTTATCGCTCGAGCTTGATAGAAACTTTTTCTCTATATTCAGTTACGGAGTTACGTAATCACCTTCTACAGTTTTTAAACGTTTTTTCCAAACATGTTGTATAACAAAAAGTCCGAGATGATTTTATTCTAAAGCATAATTGAGGTAGTCCTGTACCTACTTGGTACTCGTATAAGCGCATAATCTCGTTTCTGCATTAACATTTTATAGCAAATTTTGATCTAAAAAATGAATCAAATTTATAACCATAAATTTCTATTATCTTTGTTAAAACAATAGTTTGCATATTTATTTATCCAGACAATAATAATTAACAAAGATAACAATCTGAGCGAACGTTGAAAATTAGCTTATGTTTAATTGCTTTGTTTAAATTAACCTGTTAATTTTGAGCTTCCGTTCTTTGGTAGTAAATCTAATTTTCTACAACCATTGTTTGTTAATACAAATTTTCAATCAAAATTGGAATTTTTGAACTCTCAAAAATATTTTTCACCTGTGGCTCCTGACCCTAATGATGATAATTATAGACCCAAGTTTCGGCGGGTCTTTCAGAAGACATACATCATTTATTACAACACGAGTTTAATTCCCACTTCAGCTTTTCTTATCGTTCTAGCTAATTATTTGGTAATGATCTTAATCTCGTTTACGTATCAGTATTTTTCGAGTTTCTGACTTGATGAAGTAAAGACAAGTGCATGCAATGTTCTAATAAGGTACATTTCCAAGGTATACCGTGTGGTTGACAATCTCTAATTTGAATGAAATTAAAGCCCAAGTTACGGCACACAACCCAAGACACGATATTCAGAAATTACACCGGCGTGACGCGGAATCATTTAAAACGACATTCTTATACCGGCACTAGACAGTGCAACCTTCCTTTGTAGATATCTGCTACATCGGTGCATTAGTGCACTCCATTACCGACTCCATCTTCATTAATATTTATATCGATTACTCAAAGACTCCGATTTACATATAGTATAGCATCTTATCTCAGCCCAGAAGCTCCCGTATTGACAATATGCGTCATGCGAAGACCAACCGCATGTGTTGAACTCTCCAGTTTATGACAGAGCTTTATTAGAACAAGAAAGCAGGGACGCAGGTGGTCCACTCTGATGGACACTGTCGCAATATCGTGTACAGGTATATTAAATTACCTTCGCATACCATCACATTTCGGTTATTAAGCCGTAATGTTGGCAATACTTCATGCCGGTGGATAGCCGGACTTGCTCTCTGGACGTTTATAAGACC